ATATATAATTAGGAGTACATTTGTGAAAAAAGAATGTTTACAAAGTGAAAATGCCCAAAAGCATCATCTGTTCTGCAAGTTATCTATAGACATTTCCATTATTTTTTTGAAACGGAGGTTTCCACATTATTTAAAGTTTTCAGAAAATGAAACACATCAATATCAGTAACTTAAGCAAGTGTTATGCGATGAGTGCTCTTATGAGGCTCTTCTGCCTTTTGTTTAATTAATGTAATTGGGTTTGACTGGAGCACAATGCCTAGGTATTCTGGCATGTTCAACACATTAAACCATGAAACATAACTTCAACATCTACAATAAATGAGCACGAGTGACTCAGTGAAAATAATACATTATTACATAAGAACTTGTTAGAAACAGGTCCCTCTTGCTCTCTTCTGGGCTTTAATATTCTCCTATGTGAAGCTGGAGTTTAAAATTAGCATTCACTTTCTCTGCCAGTCTTTTTTTGGCTCAGGCGTTTTATGACATTGAATCTATGTACAGTAAAGTATAAAGTAAATTTCATACACTATTTTTACAGGAAAAAAGCAAATAATAACATGTACTGGCAAACCATTTCTCACCAATCACTTATACAATCAACAACAAAGTCTATACTTAAGAAGAGGTAAAGGTGTTTGTGTTTGGTAGATTCGTTTTTTGTTGTAACARTACATTATTTCTTGTCAATACATCTTATATTGTTAGAAAATCTGTTAATATTTATTTTAAATGGCACCACATTTGTAAGGAATATGCATTTGTGGGATGAGCATTAGCAAGTAGAACATTGTTACAACAAAGAAATAGTCTAACAAATACTAATTTCTTTATAAAACACTGTCAAACAGAGGAAATATAATGAAGGCAAGAATTATTCAATTTTGTTTTAACCTAACATATGTTGCACTAATATTTCTGATATAGCTCTATAGTATGCTGACTTTCCATTTTGCACCTTTAATATTGTATTTTTGTGAAACGAGTCAAGGCAGAATAGTAGCTGTGTCTAAATTAAGGGGCTGCAGCCTACCTAGACCATGGCCCGCATAGGCCACAACCCATGCAGTCCAGGTAGACTGCATAAAACTGCTGTGAAATGAGACGGTCTAGATTCAGATGATGTATGTTTGCATGACCATGCGGTGCTCCTTTAACATAGAGATCATGTGTCTTCAGACTTAAAATGGGTTTAGACATGTATTCAAATGTCTTTTTTCCTTGAGAAATAACTTCACAATAAAAAACATGAATAATTTAGGTTTAGCTTCATTATCAGCACTTGTACATAGTTACATTTTATTTAACAACTCATTGCTGTATAAATTTCATCATCTAAGTCACTAAACTTACATTTAAAAACAATTCCTCAGTCCATGATGGATTTCCAAACTACGCCGACTGGGTTAAAAAAAAAGATCTGCCGTCTTCACTTTTCTGTTTAGTTTTCTGATGGCGCGTTGATTCCTGGCAGTGACGAAAGCGGCYGACAAACGTACACTCATGAGGATGCAGCCCTCTGAAGTGAGACACAGCCAATGTACAGGCAGTGCCTGCAGAGGCAACAAGCTTGCAACAGATTTTCAAACAACTGAGTTCCTCATTAAATATTTCAGACATTGGTTTTCTTTTTTATTTCAGACATTGGTTTTCAACTAAAGGTGTGTAAGAAAATTATTAAGTTTGCCTAATACAATAATTATTCCCATGCAGTGTTCCTGAAAGTCTGAAAAGCTTGGCACGGTGTGTATGCCAGTTTGTTTACATGCATAGCAGCAAATTTGGTGAGTGCATTTGACATTTAGAGTCACAATAGGGTCATTAATTTGAAATACACCAGGCTGAATTATGTGTTAAAGCGACTTTATTTAAAACAAGGCAGAAAAACTCCACTGTCGGTTTTACTTGTGGCAGAAAATAAGACATTTTCACTTTTTTTTGTTATTATTTCTTGACTTGTTTCCCGGGCGCCTCACTGGCAGCTGATCCCAGTCCAGTGTTGTTACATCAGCCTGCAGCTCAGCGTCCTACAGCTTGTCTGTCCTCTTGGGTTACTTGTTTGTATGTAAGGGTCATTTTCTGTCATGTTTGTTTTTTTATTATTATTATTTATTCTTTTATTTGAGCAAAGCTGCTGATATATGCAAATACACTGCATATTTACAAAAATAGAAAGTTCTCAAATGAATTACAGCTCAAGGCATTCAAACTGACTTGAATTAACCCAAACATTTGTGATGTCGCTGGGCAGATTGGATAACAATAATGCTTGTAAATCAGCTGGCTTCTCGGTCAGTTTCTTTGCTCTGTTTGTTGCCAGGAGACTGTAGCTTCCAGAAACCCTTCATTGTACCGTTTGTTATTGAGGAAATTATGCAAAGATGTTCAACGCAATCCTCCATTCTGCCATTTCTGATGGTTGTCTGTTTGCCATGKTTGTCTTCCTTTGGTGGCAAAACACGACAAATAAATTATAACAMTGTAAAGATGACATGTGTGATGAACAAAAAAGTCATTTATATTGTGGGCGCACTTAAACATGGAATGAATGTGAAGACATATTAAACTTGGTGTGCCTTTTTTTTAACAGAAAATGAGATTTGAGTTATTAGTAGATTACCAATCAGGCTATTTGTTCTCCCATTGTTTTCTTTTGCAGCCAGCTTGCAAGAGCATGAAATTGCTTGACACCGTAAAATGCCTGTTTTCCCCCCTTTTTTTCTTTGTTTGATGTGTTGATAACTTAAAAATAATATTACTTCAGTGCAGTTTTTTATGCACTGAGTCAATAAACACAAATAGATTCTTATCCATTCTGTTAAGCTACAGTGGCCGGGAATTGACACAAATAATGAAGTCAAATTGTTATGACAACAGTGAGTCATCTGGCTAATTGGTACACAAGACCAATGAAGAAATGATCAATCATGCTTTCACACATCTACCCCCATGTATTTTCAGTTATGATGTCATTTCGAACTGCAGGACACAAAATATAAATCGTGTTCCTCTTTTGTTATTGCACATATTTAGTGCTCTGTCTGTTCTGTTTATTTCTTTCATCTCAGTTTCATTAGTTCAAACCTCAAAGGACAGTCTGCTCAGTGTCACCACTTTCTCATTACGAACAAAGCAAAGCAATTAGTCAGTGAAAATCGCTTGTCTCACTCCACTGCTCTGTCTTCTCTGCAGGTTATTGAGTGCATAACCCAGGGTCGGGTACTGGAGAGGCCACGGATCTGTCCTAAAGAGGTTTATGATATCATGCTGGGCTGCTGGCAGAGGGAACCACAGCAACGACTGAACATTAAGGACATTCAGAAGGTCCTGTTTGCCATGGGAAAAGCCACTCCAGTCTACCTGGACATCCTGGGCTAGCAGCAACCGGACGATGGGCAGTTGGTCCGCAAACATCAGAAATCGACAGAGACATAGAAGACAGAGCGACCCACATGAATCCAGGATAAACCAAACCAACCTGATCCACTGTCGAATAACACCTGCTTCGTTTGGGAGGGACTTAAGTGCCTGCTACACTTTTGGATATAGTGGATAAAACATATTAAAACAAAACAAAAAGAAAAAAATAACATACTTTTACATTTTGTTTACTTGCTTATAAGATGTACATGTTTGAAGAAAATGTTTTTTTCCCCTTGAAAAACTGCAAAAATACACAAAAAACGGAGAAAGAATGGGACGAGGGCTGACAGAAGGATAATGGATACGGAGAGAAACACATCAGAGTTTAAATCTTTCCTGGTTTTGGTTTTATGAATATATATAGAAATATTACATATATTTTATATTTATTTCTTTTAGTCAAAGAGTTGAAGGGTCCGCCATTCTTGATGCTAAGGGCTTGGCCCTGTCTGAGGACGCCACCAACAAACTATTGGCAGGGACTTGAGACGAAAGCCTTACTTGCTCTCTGATTGGATGGCACTGCGTTTTTAAAAGGACCTGTGAACTAACACTGACAGATCGGCGGGAAGTGGTGCACTGCAGAGGACCTAACCAATCAGACAACTGACAAATCTATTTTAATTTAAAAATAATGTACATATTGTAAAATTCTATATGTCAAAATTATGTTAACTTATTTTTTTGGATGTTACTTTGGTTCATTTTCTCTAACTGTGATCTGGGTTGCAAAAGTTCTAAGCTATGGTCTTTGTTTTCATCCTAATTCAGTGGAGMTTTCTCTTGGGATTTGAACCCATGYYAGCGCTKGTTATGTTATGGGACGTGGTGGAGGTGAATGATAGTGACTACAGCCCACTGACACTGAATCACAGACTTGAGAGGATGTGGGATGACTCAGAGCCATGGTTCAACACTTTCCGACGAGGTGCTGAAACCTCACTTTTTCTTTCCAGTTCATTTGCTTTTTATAGCAAGAATAATGAGTTGATAAGTAATATCTCATGCCACACCCCTGAAACACAAACACCCGCTTTGTCATTTTCAAGCTTTTTGGTGTGAAACTGCTAAAGAAAACATTTTTGTAGCGGAGTGCATATTCATCATTTGTGAGCTGCAGCTGTGTTGCCTCTCTTAAAGGAGCAGTTTGATGTTTTGTGCAATACGACTATTTGCTTTCTTGCTGTGAGCTTTTGAGGAACAGAGTTTTTTTATAGACTATTTGTTTCAAATGTATTGAAGATGTATTGAGAACACAGTTGACCTAGYTCAGCATTAAAAAGAAACAGCCATATATTTTAACTCTAGTAATTCCTCGATCAAAACCTCTTTGAAATTTATTATAATACAAAATAATGAACAATTCTAACATCATACAGGTTGGAAAGCTAAAGATGGATTTTTCTTACTCACAGTTTTTCATTTTGCTTTGGGATTTTACATTTATTCTCATATGGAAACCATTTCCAAAGCTTTTAAGGGCTTTTCAGGACCAGCTGATAAACTCTAAATGGCATCAAATTAAATGTGGCTTGTCATGTTATTGCTCCTAGGTTGCTTTATTTTATYGTACATCACTTTGGTCCAACTTGCTTTGTTTTAAATGTGCTCTATTTCTCAGTTTATTTCAGCATTTCTATGTGAAATTTGCATGTGCAGGTGTTCTCTTAGTACCCTCACACACACACACACACACACACACACACACACACACACACACACACACACACACACACACACACACACACACATATTCTAAGGCCCTGTCGACAATACTTCAGTAGTTTTTTTTTATAACTGATAACTTGGATGTGTTGAATTCGCAGCTTCCATTCACACACATTCCATGTTTTAAGTGAGATTTCTTATTGTTTGGACTGGGCATACAGAGCATTGCAGAAACAAAGACGTAGCAGCATTTTTGTATTCCCCCTGTCATTTAGTGTTCCAGAAATCCAAACAGCRGTCCGACTGTCCTTACCATTTTTTTAAATTTGTCTTGCATTATCCTGACCCCGCTGCCTTTAAACTTTGATTGTGTTCTGAAATCGTTAATAATGAAAGAACATGAAAACAGTTTTATTGAAACAAATTAAAGTTTCTGGGGAATCTATCATGTTTGTTCCCTGTATCTTTGAACATGCTTAATGTGGACTTTCTTGCCAACAGTAGCTTGGCAAACTGACAAAATCTATCTAAAGTATTGTATGCAGGGCCTAAAGACACGCTAGTTTGACTGATRTTATGAATTGACCTCAGGTGTGAGTGTGTGTTCATGTTTGTGTTTCTTTGTGTTGCCTCCAAAATGGATGAGTAACCTGCTCAGATGTACCCCAGCTTTTTTTACAAAATGACCAACAAGAACGGCACTAATTCCCCCACAAACCTGAACAGGCATAGAGCAGGAATGACTACAATACTGGCAAACTGAGCACCTTAAGTCAGGTAACTTTGCTGCCTGCATACATATTTTTTATTTACATATTTTACCTGCATTTTATTACTCTCAAGTATGTTTAGCTTTGTCAAAGTTACTGAGATTTTACATTTATTTTTATAGAATGACAGACATTCCTATTATCAGAAAAAGCAGATGATGATCTTGATGGTGAGATTCCATTCAGCTATGATCAAAAAGGTAACTGGTTAATTTCATGTTTCCCCACTTACCTTTCTTTGTTTTGTTAAATTGATTTAAAGTGAACAAATAGGTCACCTCAAGACTTTTCCACCCCTCATTTACTATTACCCAAAAAGGCATGGTGAGCATTACCTATTCTAAAGGTAACTATGCTAATCAAAATAAAACATATGTGCTACTGCTTTTTACTTCCATATCAGATTGTTTACATCTAATTCAGCAAGAAAGCAAAATAGTATATTGACATAAATTGTTTAACTAATTTTACGTAGTGCTGGTTGAAACCATCGAGATCTTGTCACATCTTTACTCTCCTCTTCTTCTATCAGCTGTTCATAAGTGATGAGTATTTTACACCTTCTGTTGTTTGGATAAAAACCTCTTCCATCACAATCAGAGAGGTGTCACCAAACCACACAAATACTTGTGTCAATTTGTGTCCACACATCAAAACTAATAGTTACTGAAATTAATCAGCTAAGCGTGTGGCATTTCTACAAGAATATGCTTTTTTTGGTGTAATTACTGTAATAAATGAACTGGGTAACAGTTCTGTGAAACAGCATTTTAAAGGAACAGCCCATAAAAAAAAACACGCTTAGTTGACAAAATCAGATGGATTTACACACCTTGAAGATTTCTGAGTTTAATGACCAACCTCAGGCAACACTTTGATTTCATGTTGTGTCAGAATTTGGATCATTTTTAGAGTCGGTCTCTTTACACCATCTTCCTTTATTAAATACTCACAGTTTCACAGTGTTGTCTCTGTTCTCCTCGGGACTATGTAAAGCAGTAATGACCATTTGGTTGTTCCATGTGTTTTATATGACAAGCAGAATCAAACCCATTGAGCTACCCAAAGTATTGAGTTTTTGTGTATTCTCTTGTGGTAAAGATAAACGCTTAAAKACATTACAACACAGACCGTGAGCATTTGCAGGGTATTGTAATCCTTTCATGGTGAGTTGAATATTGTTTTAATAAGTTTTCCTTTTTTTTCCTTTTTTTTTTTTGGATGAACTAACTGAACACTTTTTGAAGCAAAGTTGGCATATTACCATGTACACGTTACAAAATATAAAAATGTGGTATAACAACTGCAGTATATAAAAATACTGGTATTCCATGATAGATCTTTGTATTAATGTGACTCTCTTAAGAAAATGTCTTCAAACAATCAGATGATCTCCTTTTACATTTTGTCCTGTCTTATAAAGATATGTGAATTTGACTAAATCTCGTCTTCCTCTGTATCTCTGAGAGAACTGAACAGTTTGTGTTTAGTCTGTGCCTGTCCTGTATGCACCTCCATCAACTCCTTAAAAGTCTTTCCACTTAACAATGGTCAGTTTTTTGACAGCTACATATTTAATAGTTTTCAAACTCTAATTTGATTTCTAATATATGTGCCATTTCTCAGCTTTAGTTTTGGTGGAATACAAAGAAAATTTGTGCGAGACAGATTGATTAAATAATATTTCATAAATGCCTGATTCTTAGACTTGAACAGATGGTTTTATAGTCAGTGCTTCAAAGACCTTCACTTCACAAACAAACTACATTTTTCCTCATTTGGAGAAAAAAAAAATCTAACATTGTCTCGTCTTGTGTTTTTCTATATGTCTTTTTATCTGTTTACATCTCCATTAGACCTAATTTTGTGTTTTGATTATGTGTTTTTATGGTAATATTTTTGCTTATTTGTTGCTTGTCTTTTTCCAAGACTTTTTCTTGGTTCTGATTTTATTTCAATATGTTTGTTTGCTAAGTTTTTTYCCCATGTCACTGCCTAGTGTTTGTGCTTTACAACTTTGATCTGTGTGGAGGGTTACTTGGGGGTCTTTCCTAAGTTACTACTTAAAGGGTTAACAATGATGTTGATTCTGGGGGCGATCAGAACATGTGTATATCATTTAACAGATGAAAATCATTTGATAAATTGCTCCCAGGTGGATCTGATTGAAGTAATTATGTGGCTTCTGTAGGTAATAGCTGGGGCTTCACAGCAGCAGAGTAAATATCTCCATTCATTCAGGCAATTCCTTCAGCAGTGTTTTAATGATACATCTCAATTATATCAGAAACATTATGTTTGACTGAACTAAACTAATGGTAAATTGCAGTTAATTACATCATGTGTTGTGAATGTGTATGTTTCTGTCTGGTGTTATTTGTTTAATCAAAGTTTTGCTTCACAAGTCTGTTTCATCCTGCACGACTTAGTTTTTGGGTCAACACATGTTTGGACATGGTCTTAAATCCACTGAGRTTCTGCTCCTGATGTTTTAATCAGAAGTATGAAAACATTTCAGCCAATCCCAAGATCATTTTTCATCAGAAACTTTTTTTGTTTTTCTTCTTTTTTCTGCTAACCTAATTATTTTCCACTCATCAGCAAAAACCTACTCCTTATTGTACCTGTATGTTCAGTTTAAACATTTTCTGTGCAAAGTTCATATTTTTATCAGGAGATTTAGAAAACCAGCTATATTTTTATGTAATTCCCAGTTTATTATTTTGCTTTACTAAATCACAATCTAGTCACTAGTCACAATCGGTATGCTGTTAAAGAGTTGACATTACTCACAGCTCTGTCAGTACTCATCAATACTAATCCAARCAAAAACAATTATGGGTTCAAGAGCAGAACATGGCCCAAGATAAGAAAATATGAAGATTGTACAGATGTTTGCCTCTTCAGAAATTCTACTCCACCAGGAAGCAAACACCAAAATCAATTATTTAAGTCTTTGTGTTGCTGCTGCTGTTTTTGTTGTGTGCTATTAATACTCCTCTCTCAAATGCACTCTGGGATATTCCATCAGAACCTCAAGACATTTAACTTTATGTGAATTAGATAAACAACTAACGATTTTCAGTTAGAAAAAAAATCATTTACAACAAAAGCTTTTCTAAAGAGCATTTATTTCCAAGTAGACTAACTTTGTAATAGATCTTMTTGTACCATTTGTTATTTGATTGAWAAGASTTATAATTTGTCAAATACAAATTGTTCTGRGGTTAGCATGCACAACAGGAAACTCTTTATTTCGAGTTGCATTAAGCTTCACCTCCAGTACTCACTGGAGAATGTCCATATTAGATGGCAGCTCCAATATCCCTGCAATGTTTCAGCAGCTTCAAACAAGCAAGGAAATGGAGACACAGTTGGCGCTGAGGGGTTTGAGGTCAGTAAGCAGTGTGTTATGTGATGGCGGTTCTGTAATTGTTTATTGATTTACAATTACAAAGTGTTTTGTGTGCTTAGGTTTCAGAGTTTGTCTGTGTCTGTGTGGTATGTTGTGTAAGTGTGTGTGTGCTCATATTACAGTTTTTGTGGAGTGTGTCAAATATCCAGGTTCAGCCTCTGTGCACTCTGCTGCGCAGCATGAAGAAAAGTAGCGTATTGACCCGGATATAAAGCAATTTTCCTTCTGGAAAGTAGGTTTAAAATGAAAAACGTTGGATTACCTTTTATTCAAGGACGAGACAAATGTGTAACAAAATCTACCATTGTTACATTATTGGTTTGTAGCTTTAAAGTTGTCTATTTTTTATTTTCTTTTATATAAAGTTAATTAGCTCCTTTCTTTAGTCCATTTTTGTAGCCTGCATGAGATCCAAAAGGCTGCTTTTATAGGGTTTCATTTGAAGAGACTGAACAAATTAACTAACTAACTGAAGTTTAGAAAATGTTTTAGTTTTATTGTCATAGTGCAACTATTTTGTAGGGTGGGTAATAGTGTACCTATTGTAGACAACTCTTTGAACAGCCTCAGTTTAGAGTTTTTAAATTTTACTACAATAATTATCTGATAACAAAGCTGAGAGAGACCAAGATCAAAGTGGATCTCTGTAGGCCTGAACTCAGTCTAATGTCTACAGTTTTGTTGTGATTC